CACACACACACACACACACACACTTTGGAGATGCCGGCTAACTAGCCAACATGCCTTTGGAAGACGGGATGAAACGAGCACCATAGGGAAGAAAACACAATAACATGTGAGTTCTGAAGTGAATTACATGGTGGTGTTTGGATTGAAAGCCTGTAGCGGTACCGCATGACTGGATCTGGTAGACAGTGGGAGTCGAACAGGTACGCTGAGAATTGAGCCCTCCTGCTGCTTCCCATAGAGGTGTAGGACAGGACAGGAACCCTGGTGCCTCTAGTCCTGAGCCAGACCTGCCAGTATATTCCCACTGTAACAGTGCGGGAGGGGGAGGGGCCACAGCGAACACCAGTAGTCAGCGCTCGGTCTGAGGGGGCGGAGACATGGGTGTAAGGCAAGCGAAAACCACACAAAAAAAGGGAAAAACAAAAAGAAAAAAGCACAGCTTTGAACAGCAGGGGGGGGGGGAAGAACCGCTTGGAATAGCGGTCTCCTGTCTGGACTGTCCCTATTTAAGCAGAGTCCAGACTGGAAGAAAAGGAGCACAAGACCAAAAACAAAAGAAACTCAGCTTGCCCAGGTGAGTGCTCACAGTGGGTGGGAGGGGAGAAAACATGACCTCAACGCTCTCGTCACGGTCCCCCCGCGGGACTGTCGCAGAGCTGTCCTCCCCTTGCGGAGCTGGCCCTGCTCGCCCGGGGAGCTGCTCGGGGCCTTAAAGGGCCCTCACAGCTGCAGCTCGTCCTTAATGCTGAGGCAACGCGCCGCCCTTGATCCTGGGCTCCGCCTCCACGCTGCACACGCCCCCGCGTGATGCCACAATACAAACGCACGGTGTCCGCACGGCGCGCGACGCCGCACTGAGGTTTGGGAAGGCCCCACGCTCGCTGCCGGCACGACAGTTGTGAACGTGCTGGGAAAGTTTGTTTCTGTGTCTGGAGTTTGACACCGCCCGAGCGGCGGTCCGCGGCGGGGAGGGAGCAGGCCTCTGCTTGGCGGCGCGCGACACCCGAGCGACCGGCCACAGCGCCGCCGTTCCAACCGGAGCGTCTTGTTTGCTTCCAGATCCGGATGCAGGCCCAGGGCAGCCTGCTGCAGGGCAGCATGATGGCGAACTTCATCGACATCTACCAGCAGGAGGGCACCCGCGGGCTGTGGAGGGTGAGTGAGAGGAAGCACGGACTCGTCTTGGCCGTCGCCTCGGTACGGTGCGGTGCGGCGCGGGGCGAGGAGAGGACCCTGACCCCCGGCTTCTGTCCTCACGCAGGGGGTCATCCCCACGGCGCAGAGGGCAGCCATTGTGGTGGGGGTGGAGCTTCCTGTCTATGACATCACCAAGAAGCACCTGATCCTGTCCGGCCTTATGGGAGACACCATCTACACACACTTCGTGTGAGTCTGGGCCTGATGTTCCTTCCCTTTCCGGTGATCGGTCAGGACGGTAGCTCTTCCACTGGGAAGGGAGAGGAGGTGGACAGCTAGGGTACCATTCGGTAAAGTGCCAGTTAACCTGCCTTGACGCACAGACAAAGATGTTTTGTGATACCTTGCCAGTCATTTTGGTTTTAGGTTTACACAGGTCCTGTGTATTTGTTGCATTGCAATTCAGAGTTGGTACACTTGGTCTGGGAAGTGTGATTGTGGGCAACTAAGGACAACTAAGTGCTTTGTTTAATGTGGAAATTACCCAATGGCAATTGGAATGTGCAAGCGTCATACACAGTCTTCACAAATTATTTAACGTGTTTAAATATTGAATTGTTCCAAGCCTGGTGTACTATAAGAAAAGGGAGGACAAATGGCCACCTCTCGTTTTCAGTCTGTCTTGCTTGCTTTTGGTAATTCATTCCATCAAGCTGTTTGCTAAACGTTTCAACAGTGTGGCTAGAGAGTTGGTCCCAGGCTCCACCAGTCCTTCCCATAAAGTAGTGCCATCTGTTCTCTATTTAAACTTTAAACTATTTAAGTTTAAACACTCTAGTTGCAATCTTGGGTTTGGCACCGAGCGATCCAGTTCAGACACAGGCTGGTGCTGCGTGACCTGTCTGTGTAGCGTTCTCTGTGCAGAGGAAGTTTGCACGCTGTGGTTGGTTGTATCTTTCACGGCGCTGCTGGCGTAAGCAGGTGTTTATGCTGCCGCCCTTGGCCGTGCCCCCTGCTGCAGATCCAGTTTCTCGTGCGGCCTGGCTGGAGCCCTGGCCTCCAACCCCGTGGACGTCGTCCGGACCCGAATGATGAACCAGCGCGTGCTGGCGGGGAACCATCTGTACAAGGGCACGCTGGACGGGCTGCTGCAGACCTGGAGGAACGAGGGCTTCTTCGCTCTCTACAAGGGCTTCTGGCCCAACTGGCTGCGGCTGGGGCCCTGGAACATCATCGTATCCTTTCTGAGCTCGGCTTCCCCACCCTCCTTTTCTTCGCTCCATTTTCCTCTTCTTCCCCGCCCATTTCTCCACTGCTCCGCCCCTTTCCTCTTCCACTCCGCCCCCTTTCCCTCTTCTGCTCCGCCCCTTTCCTCTTCTACTCCGCCCCCTTTCCCTCTTCTGCCCCGCCCCTTTCCTTGCTCCACACCCCTTTTCTCAGCTTCCCCGCCTCCTTTCTTTCTTTCTTTCTTTCTTTCTTTCTTTCTTTCTTTCTTTTTTCCGTTGCCCCAAACGTTTTTACGGCATGGACGAATTCACCTGTTAAACATCCAGCTCCACAGAAGTGCTGGACAATTGGAAACGTGTCGTTAGGTCACACCGCCCAGTGAGGAGGTGTGATTACTGGGTGGAGGTAAAAGGAGCCGGACCGGCCCAGTCCTGCAGGTTCTGACAGTTGTGTTCGACCCGTCACCTGGTTGAGCAAGCAGCGGGTGTGAACAGAATGGGTGGGAGTGTCGGCGTGGGGGGGGGGTTTAATGGCATGCGTGCGCCACTTCTTCTGCAGCCTCTGTCCTTGACCAGAGACCCAGTTCTTCATCACCTACGAGCAGCTGAAGAAACTGCCCTTGTAGCGGCCCTGGACGAGGCCCACACGCTCCGAGGAGTGCCGGGATGCCCTCCGGATCCCCTCGGAGGAGCCGTATGGCAGCGCCCGGGTTACCCACAATGCAGCACCCTGTGCGCGGACGCTTTCACACTCCCTCCATTCGGCATCCATCTTTTATCTGTGTGCGCATTTGTTTAACTTTTTAAATATTTTTTAGCATTATTTTAAGGCGTACTGAACCTCCTCTCTCTCCCCCCCCATCCCTGCTTACGGCAGCTAAAATTCTGAAATACTGGAAGGGTCCGTAGTCGCTGGAAGTTGGGAAAACTGATGGAGTGCTTAGCAGCCGAGAGCACTGTTCATCAGCGACGCTGTGTTCAGGAGGGAGAGAGGCGAGCAAGGACGGAGTTTCCAACTGAGAGGCTTCTGATCCTCTCAACTCCAGTCTAGTTTGTGTGGAAGTGGTGTGTTTTTTTTTATCGCAAAACTTGAATTTCTGTTTTGTGCAGCTGTATCGCATGAATGTGCAGAGTCACAGGTCACATGGCTGTTACCGGGGGAGCCAGCTTAATCCGTGGTGTGCGCCCCTGTTGGGACGACAGCTGGAGCTGGCAGGCTGAGCACGTGTGTGTTGTCCTTGTTATGTTACCGACGCGATGTGTGTGTCATCACACTGACAGCAGGAACAGGAGAAAGGTTACAGACAGGAGGGGGCCTTTAAACTCTTGGTAACGGATCCCGGGGTATCGGCTTCAACAGCATGGCTGGGCAGCTTGTTCCACACCCCCACTATTCCGCCCCCCTGTTCCCCGGTTTTAAATGCATTTCCCCTTCGTTTCAATCCCTGAAGAAGTCCAGAGCCGTGTGCTTTATCAACACCGGGAAGGACGTCTGAAGATGGTGCTTGTCACCCAGGGGACACAGACACTTGTAAGAACTTGGGGAAAGTTTGTTGGGCCTGGGAGAAAGAGGAGAGGATGACGGAGGGAAAGCTTAGGTTAAGATGATAAAGCTCTGGCATGGGCCGTGGGAATTTTACAGCGTGGTTGTGTTGGGGTAGTGCTTCAGCTCTCCCCAGAAAGTGTGGCACAGGGGGGGACAGTGTGGAGATTTTGAAGGCACCCCGGGAATTCCCTGTCAGAATTCGTGATGCGCACCGTGCTGTGGCGCACAAGGAATCTGGATCTCGTGGTTTCTAGAAGGAGTTATAGATCACAGATTGAATTGAATGATATCTTGCAAACGCGATGGACTGGGATCCCATCCGGGAGGAGGCCTTCCGCCCATCGCTTGCTGGGATAGGCTCCGGCTCCCCCCGCCACATCCCGAAAGGAACCCAAACTTACGGGAAGTGAGCGGTTTGAACCACCGCTGAAGAGCAGCACCACCTCAGTCACGCGCAGCGGTAATTGTGCCAGTATGGGCATCGCGGTGCCAGCGTGTGCCACACAAGATCAGGTGAACAGGTGCTTATACTGTAAAAGCCTAGAGTGGAACTCGGCCAGGACACCAACATTGCAAACTCTGCTAGTACCATCAGCACCAAAGGACTGTTGATGACCAGATAGTCAGGACCTCAGTTCAATATATCAGCAGTACCTAAAGGAGGAACCTCCTATAGCAGAGTGTCCCCACTTACCATACTGGGGCATCGAGGAAGAGCACCACGTACTGGTCACCAAGACCACTGACAGCAGTAAGCTGGTTTTCCCCTTTTCCCTGGAGGTCTCTCATCCCAGCTCTGACCAGGCCCAGCCCAGCCCAGCCTGCTGAGCAGCTGTGATCTGATGAGATCAGGCTACAGGGCTACAAGATGTTTCGGCTTATTTGCCCTTTAAAGTCTCTTATCATCAGATGCAAGGGAGCTCGTTTCAGACTTTGTTCGAGTGAGGCATATGCAAACACGAAAGGCTGATGGCACCGTGACTCTTTACCAAAAACTGGCGAATACTATTATTTTATTTCCAAATCCCAAGTTTGCATTTATAAAGGTGCCACGTTTTGCACCCTGTGGACAGTCTGTTGTGGCACGATGTCTTTGGTGCAGTGGAGTGACACCAGGGGAAGTCTGGGTCACATGTCGCATCTGTCATCAGCCGACACCAGAGAACAGGAAGTCTGGGTCACGTGTCGCGTCTGCCATCAGCATCAATCTAGCTTTAGAATTGAACAGTTTGGCCAGGCTGAAGGCCCTGCATCAAAGGCTGAACAAGGCCTATATGAAAAAGCGCACATACACGAGATCATTCCTGCCATTTTGGGGACCAGCCCAGCCTTTATACTGCGGTGCA